TAAAGAAAATATAGTTAGGGACATGCCAGAAATTACGTGATTTAGTAGGTGGGTGGGGTTAGGTCCTGCAATCAGGTGACACAATATACCTTTTATGATAATAGTATATCTTTTATAATAAATAATATATAATTTGTTTATTAAGAAGTTTTTTTGAAATTATCTTACCATCTAAAAGTCCAATTTCAATGAATTTTTTTTTGTTTTATAAAGTATAAAGAGGGCTACAAAATAAAAAAAAGTTTATGCAAATTGAATCATTGAATAGTAAAATAATTGTATTATAATATATATGTAATATATAGTAATTTATTTATTAAGAAGCTTTTTTGCAATTAACTTACTCTAGCAGTTCAATTTTAATGAATTTTTTTTTGTTTTGTAAAGCATAAAGAGGTCTATAAAACAAAAAAAAATTTATGTAAATTGGATTATTGAATAGTGAAATAATTGTATTATAATATAATATATAATATATAATAATTTATTTATTAATAAGCTTTTTTGCAATTATTTCACCATCTAGCAGTCCAATTTCAATGAAATTTTTTTTATTTTATAAAGCATAAATGGGGCTACAAAACAAAAAAAAAGTTTATGCAAATTGGATTATTAGATAGCAAACTAATTGGATTATAATATATATATATATTAATATAATATATTATATATTATATGTATTTTTTTAGCCAATCAGAATTCAATCACATGGTAGGTAGGGGGGTTAGGAGCATTATTACGTGATTTCTGGCACATCCTTTAGTAAAGAATAATAAAAACAAGAACCTAAAAAATAAAAAAGAAAAAAAAGAAAAAATACTTAACTAAAGCTCCGAATGGTTCAGGCTAAACTGGGGAACCGATCCGAAACTGGCTCAAAATTCGGTTTGGTTTGGTTCGGGTATTAGAACCGAAAAACTGGCGGTTCGGTTCGGTTTAATCCAATTTTTTATAAAAATGCGAAAAATCGAATAGCCGGCCATCTAGTGATCGTACAAAGTCGAGCCATATATCATTGGATTCGTCTCGACGAGACGCGTCGAATGGTGGTAAGATCATGTCTCTAGCATCGATAGATCACACG